TGAAAGCTTTAGATTTCATTTTAGTACTTTTCTTAATAGTCATATGTTCAGATAGAGCAGAAAACTATCTTCGAACTTATCCATCCTTGTCATTGGTTTATAGTATCCAACTTCTTTTCCACCAAAGTCGAAATATTAAACCACCAAGCCTCAAGCATTTGCAATAGTATTTCACCATCGTGCGGATTTAAATATGCTCCATTCTCTAAATTTGATTCAGTAAATATTAATGTGTACTGTTTTTGTATAAGATGAATCAAAATTCTATATATCATGAAAGCCTAAAAAAATTAACTTACCTTTTTCTTTTACAAATAATTTGCACGTTCCAAGCAAAAGGTGCCTTGGTAGCACATTGGCTGATAACTAAAAAGTCATTAGTTCAAACCTGCCAGTTGCTCCATAGGATGAAAATGTGGCAGTCTCCTCTCATAAAGATGTACAGGCTCGGAAAACCTATGGAGCAGATCCACTATTTTCTATAGGGTTGCTGTAAGTTGAAATAAACGTGAGTTTGGGTTCCAAGGAAAAGCCTCATTAAATACAGCTTCGGGGTATGATTAGCCTTTCTACCCTCAAACCCAGGTCGGTTTGTTATGAGGAGTCCTGTGGAAAGCAGTGGAAATGTAAAACAAAACCAGAAGACACTCCCTTCAAAAGACAGGTTGTTTTAAAAGCAAGAAAGTATTGAACAATGAGAAGAATAAACCAAGTTGCAGAGATTCAAGTAGACCCAGGACGGACTGTAAAGCCCCCACTGCAGTTCTGCACTGCACGGACACTGCACAGCGCCGGAGTGCCTTCTGTCACTCTATCCATAAAACAGCTGTAAGTTTTAGGCTTTAGTTCAAACTGCCGGTGATTTATTCTGAAGCACAATCCTTACAAAGTTATTTGGAAGGCATATAAAGTGGCTTTAAACAGTTTTTAAAAGCCATATAAAACATTTTAAAGCCATTAATAAAACAAAGGTGTGAGATTGGGTTGTGACCTCTCACCATACTTATTTAGTCTGTATATTGAACAAGTCAGCAAAAACCTGGATCATATGAAGACGAATGTGGCCTCGGGATTGGGGGAAGATTCAGGAACAGCCTGTACTATGCAGATGACGCAAGCATGCTTGCTGAAAGTGAGGAGGACCTGAAGAAGCACTTGCTGATAGAGATCAAAGACGGTAGCCTTCCACATGGACCACCTTATCTCACAACATAAACAGCTTCAAAACAACCACTGAAACTGTGCTTCTAATCTCCAGAGCAGGGGAAATTGCTTCAATAATACAAGGAGAACTTTACACAAACTGTTGTCATCCCTGCTCTCTGAGGGTTGTTAAAACACAGAATCCAATGGCTAATTCAAACTTTCAAAGATGTGTCCCCATGACACAGTGATTGGGTGCCACACTATCATGTGAAGGGAATTCAAGCGAGCGTTGAGTGGAGAGTTGAGTTCAATCTCATCTATCTACCCTTACCAATATTAAGTCTAAACTTGAATTCTTAGAGAAAGTCTCATCTCCACAGACCTCACATAAACTTCAATCACTTCTGTGTTACCATCTTTCATGCATAAAATCAGAAAGTCCCTATCAAAGGACAAAATTTGAATTTGAACCACCAATCTAGTGTAGCCAGTACTCAATAGATGACAAAGCTTTTCTGACAACTCGGTAGAAAGTGAGACATTAAAGAAACATATCCTTCAAAGAAGAGTAAGAATAGCTGAGGTCATTATTGACTATCATTCACAAGGGGTCACACCAAAACTCTGTCAATTACTGTCTGACCCTCACAAGGCATAAAAAAAATCTGATAGACAATGCCAGTTTAGAGATTCTTGAAAACTAGCCATGCTATGAATGCACACTCTGCAATACTGACATTAGAAGTCTTTATTTAATTTAATGTATTGCTTTTACTGGGTTGAACAAAAGTGGAAGAGCAAAATAGATGTCATTGAATATTAGACTTCTAAAGTCAGGAGCCAGCACATGTCTGCCAGTTTACCTTACTGTGGTGACCTGTGGGATGTTGTTATTATGAAAACTATGTCACTGGTATTTCAAGTACCAGCAAGGCCACCCCAAGTAAACAGGTTTCAGCAAAGCTTCCAAATTAAGAACAAACTACAAAAAAGGAACAGGCTGTCCACTTCTGAGGAGTTAGCCCCTGGCAACCCTATTGATAGCATCAAAATATTGTCAGTTCCTGAAAATCTAATGAACAGAAATAGAACACTGTCAAAGATAGTGCTAGAAAATGCGCTGGTCAGGAGGCACTTAAAAGATGATGAATGAAGAGCTGCCTTCTCAAAGTAGAGTTGACCAGAATGACGTGAATGGAGTAAAGTGTGCGTCAGTAATGCCTTTGGGACCTTCACTTGTGGAGAGGGCATGGCTCAAAATGATAAAAAAAACTACTAATAAACAGAACTTGGAATGTACAAACTATGCGTCTATGAAAATTGGAAGTCATTAAAAATTAAATGGAACTCATAAAGATTGAAATTTTAGGCGTTAATGAGCTAAGTGGGGTTGGGACTGGCCATTTTGAATCAGAAAAGCATATGGTTTACTGTGCTGGGAATGACAAAACCAAGAAGAATGGCACTGCATTCACCATCAAAGGACATTTCAAGATCTACCTTGAAGTACAATTCAGGTTGTGATAAGATAACATCTATCTGCATACAGGAAAATCCAATCAATACAACTACTCTTCACATGTCTACACTAACCACGAAAGCTAGTGACCAACAAATTGAGGAATTCTACCAATACTCTCCAGCTGAAATCGATGGACAGCTACTTAGCCACTTGATTAGAAAAGATTCATAGTTGTACCCACTCCAAAGACAGTTAACCCAACAGAATGATCAAATCATAAAACAATATCACTGACATCACATGCTAGTAAAATTTTACTGAATATAATCCAACATCAGGTGCAGCAGTAGACAGGGATCTACGAGAGGTTCGGGCCAAATTCAGCAGTGGACATGGAACAAGGGAAATCATGGCTGATGTCAGATGGAGCTTAGCTAAAAACAGAGACTACCAGAATGATGTTCACTTGTGTTTTATTGACTATGCAAAGGCATTCGACTATGTGGATCATAACAATCTAGGAACATCTTGAGAAACATGAACATTCCAAAATACTTAATTGTGCTCACAGAGAAAAGGTACATGGATCAAGAAGAAGGGCATGCTGCATGGTTTCAAACAGGAAAAATCTGTGTCAAGGTCGTATACTCTCACTATAATTACTAAACCTGTATGCTGAGCAAATAATCAGAGAAACGGGAGCACATGAAGAATGCAGCATCAGATTGGAGGCAGGCTTACTAACAGTTTGTGATGATGCAGATGGCACAACCTTGCTTGCTGAACGTGAGGAAGAATGGAAGAAGCCTTGCTGATTAAAGAGTATAGACTTCAGTCTGGATTACAACTCAATAACAAGAACTGTAAAATCCTGCCAACTGGACCCCTGGGTAACATCATGATAAGTGGAAAAAAGACTGACGTTTTCAAGGATTTCACCTTGCTTGGAACCACAGTCAATGGTTATGGAAGATTCAGGCAAGAGATTAAAACAAGCATTGCATAGATAAATCTGCTGCACAAAACTTCTTTAAAGTGCTGAAAAGCAAGGATATTACTTTTAGGACTCAGGTATGTCTGACCCACGCCATGGAATTTTCAAATGCCTCACATTCCTGTTAAAATTGGACACTGAATTAAGAAGACTGAAGCAGAATCAATGGACTTGAATCACTGTACTGGCAAAGAATGTTAAAAGTACCACAGGCGGCCAAAAGAACAAATAGATCTGTCTTGGGAGAATAGCCAGCATACTCCTTAGAGGCAAGGATAATGAGATTTCATCTCAAGTACTTTGGACATGTTGTCAGGAGAGACCAATCCCTGGAGAAGGACGTCGTGCTAGGTAAAGTAGAGGGACAATGAAAAAGCGCATGGCCCTCAATTAGATGGACTGGCACAATGGCTACAACAATGGACTCGAGCATCGGAAACAATGTCGGGATGGCACAGGACCTGGCAGTGTTCCGTTCTGTTGTACATAAGGCAACTATGACTTGGAACTGACTAAACGGCACCTAATAAAAACAACGATGTCAGGGGGGACTAGACCATGAAGGTGGACATCACACTTGGTAGAGTACAGACGATAAAAAGAAAAAAAAGAGTAGCGATGAGATGGATTTACACAGTGGCTAAAACAGTGGGCTCAAACATAATAATTGCGATGTTGGTGTATAATCAGGCAATATTCCATTTTGTTGTACCAAAAAAATCACTAAGACATAATACACAGCGACAATAGTATTTGCTAAATGTAAAACTTCAACAAGTTAAACCAAACATCTCAAGTACCGGTCTATGTGTTAAAATACATACAACAATAATACCTACCCTGTTTCCCCGAAAGTAAGACATCCCCCGAAAATAAGACCTACATACAGTTTTGCCTCTGGCTGAAATATAAGGCATCCCCCTGAAAATAAGACCTCCCCGAAAATAAGGCCCCCTGAAGCTACTGTAACTCTGGACTCTGGACCGTAGCAGCGGGTGCCGCCGTGCAGCTCACTCTTGGCCACAGCGCAGCGGGAGCAGACAGGAAGTGCGAGGTCTCTTTTAATACAACAATAAACAATAAATGTGTATCATATTCTTCTTCACGGAAAAATAAGACATCCCCTGAAAATAAAACCTAGCACATCTTTGGGAGCAAAAATTAATATAAGACGCTGTCTTATTTTCGGGGAAACAGGGTAATAGCGCTCATTTCCATTCTTTTAAACTCAAACCAGAACACTTACCTCAAAAACGTCACTAATCAGTGGCACTGATATTACATTAAGCAAAGTGTACAAAGTGTACAATGTTCTGGAGGAGGGGAGTTTTACTATGTAAGGCATCATAGTGGACTAAGACACTTCTCATAGTAGTGTCTTCAGAGACCAAGTCTTACTTTCAAGATATTTTGAGTTTCATTCCACTTATTTGTCCATTCCTTGGTCAACTCTTGAACCTAAAAGAAAAAATACACATACATGATTACTCCATAAGAAGTATTATTTTCTTCTAGCAAATTTACATACTCTATTTTTAATTAGATAACAATTTTCATCCTAGAAATAATCAAATCAAATATATATCAAGTTGATCTGATCCTACTCCCAGCATTATACCAAAGGAAAATACAGGCAAAACTTGTCAAATTGCCTAGTTTTCCAAGCCATTTTTACCGTGTCCTTAAATTAATGCTACTTCCCTTGATAGCAATCAAATTAAAAGTTCAGGCATAACAAAATTAGTTCCTCAGAACTAGTGATTTACTTTTCTTGCTAATTAGATGTGGTGTGGGTTAAACAATCATAGACGATGCATTTTTCTCTTAGGAAATAATTTGCTTTTATAGGTAATTAATAGGATTCACAAATTGCCATCTATTTTTTTAAGGGAGTGTTAACCTCTTTGATTCTTAGTAAAAACAAAAATCTTGATAAAAATCCACTTCTCTCCTGTCTGCTGGAACTTGGAGCTAACCCCCTTACCCACCCCCCCCACCCACCCCACCCCCCAGTTTTTGATTGCAGCTCAGTTAGAAAGTGTTTCTCAAAGTTAATACAAGCACTCTGGAAGTTCCAGAAGTGTTTTCACACAATGCACCCTGTGTACAATGGTTAAGTACTCTGTTGCTATTGGCCAGTAGTTCATTCCCACTGAGCAACTCCTCAAGAGAAAAGGCCCAATGATCTGGTCCCATAAGATTCAACCTGGGAAACTCTATAAGGCAGTTCTACGCCCTCATATGGGATCAACATGAGTCAGAACAGGCTTAATGGAACACTCCCATCACAAACAATGAAGAGGCAAATGTGATGCCTGTGTCAACAATGGAAAGATTAATGTCTCTTGTGAATAAGAACTTACATAAAACTAAGAAAGGAGAAACTTGGTTGGGTATAGTAGTTAAGCCCATGGCTACTACCGCAATGGCGGCTTTGCAAGACAGACAGAGATATGCCACTATGCTTCTGCAAAGGCTAAAAACAAACCAAATGCCACCGAGTCAACGCCGACGTATAGCGACCCTTAAGAGCAGAGTGGAACTGTCCCACAGAGTTCCAGACGCTGTAATCTTCCTGGCAGCACACTGCCACATCTCCCTCCCTCAGAGTGGACAGAGGGCTCAAACCACTGACCTTTCCGTTAGCAGCTAAACATTAGCAAATATGCCACCAGTCCTTCACCTGTAAAGATTTGAGGTCTTGGAAACCCAATAGGTCAGTTCTACTGTGTCCAATAAGGTTGCTGAGCTGGAATAACTCAATGGCAACAGGGTTTGGGCTTTAAGCCATAGGTACTTTAGGAGGCAGAGAAACTCTTCAAAATCTTCTCATTCAGTATATATGGTCAGCATTCCTGTCACCTCCCTGTTCCCAAGACCAAATACCATGCCACCTAAACTTAGAGGTCTTTCCACCTATAATCTACCCTGTCATTTACCAAAGCAAAATGCGGACATTTTCTTATATTCTTTATATAGAGATAGAGATAGAGATAATGTATGTATGTATGTATATATATAATTTTATAGACACACTTCAATGCTTTCATGGACATTTGAAGGGCAAGGAAAAATTTTCTGCTGAGTTAGAACAAGGTAGTGTGATATTCACTAAGGCAGTATTTGTGACCTTTATGAAAAAGTAACTACCATGATAGTAAGAATCAACTATATGGACATGTATCTATGATATATATGTATATATAAACACACACAGACATATATAAAGACTTTCCATAAAGAAGGGGGAAAGATTGGTGTACTACTGAATTTGCTAGTTTCTACTAATTAGTTAACACAAAGATTCTCACTAGTAATTTATTGAGAAATACAAAACCCTTAACAAATAGTTGTGTGTGCGTGTGTGTACGTGAGCCACAGGGACTCGGACCCTAGACACTTGTCGGTTCTGATGCTCCTAGCATCTCACATTTTGCCAAGGCAGCTGTGAGACTTTCACTGGCAGGTGTCCACACTGAAAGAGATTCCACTTAAAAATAACAAAGCATGTGATCTGACACACCAACACTCAAGTATGTACACCTTTAAAAAATGACCCTATGAAGTGGCTCACATACACATGTGCACACACTCAAATGACTAATGGGTGAAGGAGCTGGGTAGAGGTAAGAAGATTTGGGGCAGGATACTTATGATGGTATAACCAACAATGTAAATGAGTCTCAAACAAGAGTACTAAAGAGCATGTACTTAAAATGAGTACTGCTGCTAAAAACAGAAATACTATGAGTTGGTGGCTTTAATGAACAGAAATGTATTTTCTCACAGTTTAGAAGGTAGAAGTCTGAATTCAGGGTGTTAACTCTAAGCGAAAGCTCTCTCAGTCTGGGAGAAGGTCTTTCTCTCTTTCCACTTCTATTCCGGGGCTCCTTGGCAATCATGTGGCAATCATTCACATGACATGTATCTCTCTTCCCCCTCTGTACTAGCTTACTTGCTAAACATCCTCCTTTATTTGGCAAAATTAATTAATTAATAAATTAACCCTATACTAATATGGTCTCATTAAAACAACAAAGAAAATATATCCCCAAGTGTGGTTCATAACCATTAATGGTATAAGGGTTAAAAATTGCCACCCATACGTAGGGATGGGGGGAACAACTTAATTCATAATAAATAATGAAAATTGCTATTTTAAAAAATAAGTCAAAAAGGGTCACTTACTCTTGCTTCATTCTGCTGAAGTTTTTCTTCCATACTTAGAGCTGTAGGGGAGTCTAAGAAGGCAATCTACAATGCAAACCACAAAACAGACCACCGATTAGTAAATCACAACAATCTAAAGTAAATATAAGAAATTATCAAAACTCCCAAATAAACTAATAGTAAAAAGCAATGCCCTTCACCACCCTCCGCCTAAAAAGGTGCAGTATGACCAACTTTTAATCCACGGAGCACCTATCTCTTTCCATTCAAAATGACCACACCCTGGTAAATTTACTTTGGCAATCACAAATCAGTGACGTAAAAGAAAAAGGCAACCATGCAGTTGATCTTTTATTAAAACAAAACCCCTAGAGGTCCTAAATAATTAATCTGCTTTGAATACGTACATATTACAAAAGTGAAAACTCAAAAGGCAAAAGGTGGAAGGATAAATGCTTCTAAATCACAGATTTTTGAAAGACATGAGAATGAAATATATTTATTTTTACTGCTGGGTGGCATTCCATGTCTGGCCTGACTTTACCACAATATGTTTATTCATCCCTTTGTTAGTGCTGCAGAGGTATATAGTTCAAACAGCAAAACAGGTAAAAATGATGGTACACTGTACAATGGAACTGAAATTATTCAAATGAATGAGGCAGCTTTATTTGTACCGAGCTTTCCCCAAGATATATTGTAAAATTAAAAAGGCAATGTTAACAATAAGCAAAAACATTGCATACAACCAGATTGATTGTGAATTTACGTTCACAGAATGATTATCATTTACAAATTATGAAGGTCTAGCATTGAAAAGCCCTATAAAGGACATTTCTACTCTGACACATACAGAGCATTAGTCCTTGAAATGGGAAGAGAGACTTGTAAGTATAGGAGCGTACCTACTCCTCAGCTTGTTAACTAAACTGTATGAATACAATTGAAATCCCCTGTGCACATCTCATTTTCCTTCCCTGTCTCTACCAGCGTCCCTGTTTTTAACAATTCCACCGCTAGTGTCAGGATAGCATTAGATGGATATTCATTTCAGTATGTTATGTGTTGGGCTGCCATCCAAAAGGTTAGTAGTTTGAAACCGCCAGGCACTCCAGGAGGAAAGACAGAGCTTGCTACCTGAGTAAACAATTACAGTCTTGGAAATTCAAGGGACAGTTCTACCCTGTCCTATAGGGTCATTATGAGGTAGCATCGACTCAGTGGCGGTGAATTTGGTTTGGGTTTTGGTATTCTATTAATGGAAATGTAGCTTTCTCGAATAGTTTGATTTTCTAACACTACTAAAATGAACATCTGTAAGCTAATTGACTGCACGCCTGGGTATATCAATAGAATTCAATTTTTGGAGGTGAATTTAGGGCTAACTTATAGGTGTGATTATTTTAAATTGTCAAATTATCTTCCCCAAAGGTTTTTTGGTTGGTTTTACTATTCTCCATTTCTTTTTAGACAAATGTAATACCCACAGGGTAGTTCGGTTCAGATAAAGATTCAGACTGCCTAAGGCTACCATGGCTATGCTTGCCATTGGTCTACACAGGTAATATTGAAGCTTGCCAGCAGGGTAGGACTGGCTCCCCTTTCTGGGCAAAGTCTTTACATTAGTCTGGGCAAAAGTCCCCACAGTTGTCCAAGAGCTATCTTCTTAGCCACCTATGTGAGGGGTACAAGATACACATAAGCATGTATGGAGTCCACGTTGGATTAGAAATCCATAGCCTACAGAAACCAACATCTCTTGCAACAACTCCATAGCCATATCTTCTAGGGTCCCCGTGATGGACACACCCAGTCACTGTACTCAGGAAAACCCAGTGTTTATAGGCCTAGACTTGCCATGAGTCAATTCCAACTCATGGAACTACGCTCCATGGATTGCTTTTAATGGCTGATTTTTGAGAAGGAGACAGCCAGACCATTGTTTTGAGGCACTTCTAATGAACTCAATCCTCCCACCTTTCAGTTAACAGTTAGGCACATTAACCCTTTACAGCAACAGGGATTCAAAGGTCTAAATAGAAGCAATGATCCAATTAGGGATTGTCTTTATCATAAAAAATGTTGACTGCTTATACAGCTAGCATTCCATTTTTCTGTAATTTAGGAAGAGTGAAATCAGAAAATTAACCCAAAGCCAATTCTGTCCTTGTGGAAAAAAGAGTTTTGTTAACCTGTATACCATACTGCATCTACCCCACCGAGTTTGTAACCTTGCAAACAGATGATACTCAATAAATATCTTCCACTGAGGAAAAGAAAGTGATAAACTTGAACATGTCACCCCCGTTTATGCATTGTTGGTAGTTTCCCAATCAATGAGAACGTCCTTTTCATGACAATTAATTTTAAAGAAATTTTTATCTAACATTACAATAAAAATTCCTAGCACATCATCAACTTGGTAGATCATCAATGACAGTATATGTGCATGAAAATTAACAACCACCAACCCTGCTGGAAAAGTATTTTGAAACAAGACGTGTAAAGATGGGTTTACATAAGAACTTAAAAATAAATAAATACATACATATGTGCTTATACACATAGACACATGGAAAAAAAGAAACCTTTGGTAACACTGAACCATTTACAATAAAATTATTCTTTGAAAGCTTTTTGTTTATAAGATTAATAGCTCATGATTAGGCAGTATACAAGAAAAATTCACGTGTCATCTAATCAAGAGTAACACTATTACCTAAAAACTGTACCAATATCAACTACACTAACAATATATACAAGCATCTTTTTCTTCCCACCTTGCCATGTTATCAACATGGTTAGGTTCCAAAAACCAAGTTGCTATGCAAAAAATGTTATTACACAAAAATACAAAATGACCACATCAAATCACTGAATGGAAAATGAATGCATTATTATATAACCACCAAACCATTGAGAATCATAGCCAAACCAAGCTGACAATAAGCACCATAGCCATTTACTCTGGCCCTGCACTTCAAAATTCATTACTGTCAAAGGTTTGTCATTAATACACAAAACAATCAACGTGTAGACATATTAATATTGTTGCAAATGGCAAAATATCATATAACGAGACAGGTGATAAGTGAAAAGAGAGTGTATACTGCATAATCAAGCCTTTTGATCTTTGCCAATCTAGTGGGTGAATAGGACATCTCATTATTTGAGGTAAAATCTACATGCAGAAATTTCACCAATCTTAAGAGTATACAAAAAATGCACATAGTTTTATATAAACATATGTGGGTGTACACACACACATATCCATTTCAATTGTTTTTATTTACATATATTATATTTCAAATGACATTGAGTATAAATTTATAGGTTTTAAAAATCATTTAGATTTTTTTTGAATTGTGTCCTCAATTTCTTTGTTCATTTTACTGTTGAGTTCAATCTTTTCCTAAGTTTTTTTAGTTAATAGTTTTATGATATATAATTCATATATCATACAATTCAAAGGTTTAAAAATATTAGAGTTGTACAATCATCACCAGAATCAATTTTAGAACATTTTCTTCTTTCCTGTACTCATTATTATTAGATGTTCGTTTCCCCCAAACTTCTCTGTCATAATCTTAAGAAACTCTTAATCCAGCTATTGCCTTTATAAATTTAGCTATCCTGGATTTCATATACAGAAAACATGTTAAAAAAATTTTTTAAATAGCAAAGTAAAATGGATATAAATCTCAATTGAAAAGAAAGCATAAAAATATTAAAAACTAGAACAAATTTAATCAATCATAAAGGCGATCAAATGATAGAGTGCCAAATTTTAATCTAGTTGCATCTGCAACGATCCACTTTAAAAAATATACTTTTATTGGGGGCTCTTAACATCTCTTATTACAATCCATACATTCCTCCAATATGTGAAGCACATTTGCACATATGCCACCATCATCAATTTCAAAGTATTCTCTTCCCACTTGAGCCCGATTTCAGCTCCCCACTTCTTCCCCTCCCCTCCCACCCCCACCTCACGAGCTCTTAATGTTACAGACTATTTTTTCCATATCTTACATTGCCCTCCATCACCCCTCACCCACTTTTCTGTTATTCGTCCCCCTGGGAGGGGGTTCTATTTGATCCTTGTGATTGGATCCCCCTTTCTCCCCACACCCTCCTCTAATCCTGCTGGTATCGCTACTCTCCTTGTTGTTCCTGAGGGATTTATCTATCCTGGGTTCGCTGTGTTGCGGGCTCTTACATGGAGCAGCGTGCATGCTCTGGTCTAATCGGAACAGTCCACTTTCCAATGCATTGTGCATGACAGCAAAGCCATTCACATCCCTGATCCATGGTCAGATCTCCCTAATGTTTTATAGATGCTCTTTTCATAATAAGAAAAGTAGCCTTCTATGGTATGAATTACAATTTTTTCCTGATTTGTCATGATTGTGGCAAATTTTAGTTGTGTTATAAAAATACTCTATGCTCTTACTTATTTCTGTCTCCTTGAGCTCTCAAAGAATGAGACAGACATGTAAATTTCCTGTAAAAAATGCATAGTTGGTTTTCTTTCCTGAAATGTCCTATAGCGTTGCTGGGTTTTCTTTGTTTTGGTTTGGTTTGGGTTTTCCTTTGCTTTCTAAAATTTCTTGTCTCTCTTGATTTTTATTATGTTATAGTTTTATCATGATAATGTGCTCTTTTCTAAAGTTCACATAAGCACTACTTTCTTTCCCCTATATTACCTGTTAGCTCTTTACTCATTCTTATAAACACCATTATAAATGAGTGTTATTCTATTACCCTGAGATGTGTAGATCTTAAAAATTTATAAATTCTGACACTTCCATTAACTATCAATCATTTAAAGTTTGCCCTTGCTGCAAAATTGGAAGTCATCTAACCTCCACCTTCTCTTCCCTATTATTGTGTTTCCTGACTTTTGCTGTTTATTTCAGTTCTCCACTGCTTCGTTTCACTGTTTCCACACACTAGGGTAAGAAAAAAAGATTGCTATTAAGGTTTCAGCCCGTACATGCATGAAATTATTCCAAACAAATGTGTGTGAACATTACTCTGTTGTCAGTGAATGGCTGTAGACAAGATATCGCAATAAAAGTCTCGTTAGGGAGACTTCGACAATGGGAAACTATCAACACAATTGGCTTCCAGGAGATATATAGAAAACAGAAAGGTCAACTCAAATGGCTATGGGAATTCTTCTTAGAGATTACAAAGAAGTAATCTTGATAAATGTTCTCAAGAACAAGAGGATAATCACGGGGGCTTATCCAGTAGACATTTTCTGAAAATGGCACTAGTAAAAAAAAGGTAGTAAAGCTAGGGCAAGGATTTTTATGTTTTCCATGATGACAACATACTGGTTTGTTCTTCAAGGGTAGCAAGGGTTTTTCTTTAAAAATTTTGTTGGGAAGTCTTACTATATCAACCCTACATCCCTGATCTTTCATGCTCAATATTTTGTTCTGCAAACTCAAAGAAAACTTAAAAAGATGGATTGACTCATTCAAAGAACTACTATATTGAAATGAAAGAGCATAACATTTTTTGAGCAAGGGTGACTGAGACGGAAACAATGCCTTCAGAAGTGTGTAGACCTATGTGGAAGATATGTGAAGAAACATTCTTCACAGTTTTAATAAAGGTTTTTTATTTTGTAGCAGTATTTTTTGACTTACATTCGCAAGAGAGAAGAAATAGTTTCTGTCAAGTCAAAAAGTGGTCTGAAAATATGCTTTCAATATAATAAGAGCTAGAAGATACTTTTTTTAAAAATCCAGATGCTCACACCATCTGAAAATACACAGTGAAACCATTCTATGAAATCACTATACATCCATCAGAATTGTTTCAGTGAAAACTAGACAATACCACATGTTGACAAGCATCTGGAAAAACAACAACTGACATTCTCTGACATTTGATAACAACAACAACAAAAACTCACTGCCCTGCAGTCAATGCCAACTTACAGCAACCCTATAAGACAGCGTAGACCCCCCCTTGAGTTTCCTTGACTGAAGCTTTTATGGGAATTGACAGCCCAGTCTTTCTCCAGCTGAGTGGCTGATGGATTTGAATTGCTAGCCTTGCAGTTAAGAATCCAACTCTTAACCACTACACCATCAGCGCTCCTCATATATTGGTATAAACACTCTGAAAAATTATTTGGCAGTATTTAATAAAACTGAACAGAAGCTCATGGTCTGGCTCAGTATCCCCACTATTAGATATAAACCTAAGAATGCATCTAGAAGTTCACTATAAGACCTGCATAACCAATGTCATCACATCACACTTCAATAGACTCAAGCAAGAAACTCTCACAACTGACATCAAGAAACAGATAAATGGGCCAAGGTATGCTTGCAAGAAGGAATACTCTGAACATGTGAAAACTACAAAGATGCAGAGATAAAGTGCTTCTAGGATGCTATTAAAGTTCTCCTTCTTGATATGGAAGTGAGTTGACAGGAGAGTTGAGTCTGTGGAAATGTATTACACTACACTTACAGTATATACTATAATGTGCACCTTGTTTTAGAACATTTTCAGAAATATGTTTAATATTTTTATTTCCTAAAAGGAAGGAAAAAGATTGCATGATTTGCATCTTACCACTCACCCCACCTTTTTTTAAAAAATCATTTTATTGGGACTAATACAACTCTTATCACAATCCATACATACATCAATTGTGTAAATCACCTTTTTTATCTGTTTGCCAATCACTTGTCCCACACCAGAAGATAGTTTTATAAATGTGCTACACTAATTTTTATTTATAGCATTATCTTCTAAAAGAAAAAAAATGGCATAGCTTTGCCTACAAAAATATCTCCCTACTGGTGGAGAGTTTAACAAGTACACTTAGAAGGCTTTCATTGTTTGCACACAAAAAAAGGAAGGTAACTGTGCATATATATAAAATATAAAAGTGGTATTCAATAAAAACCTTAAATTGTCGTTAATATAAATAACTACAGCAAGCCGAACTCAACCCCATCTGTTCAGTTCTGACTCAGAGCAATCCTGTAAGACAGATCCGAACTGCGCCTAGGATTTCCAATGACATAAATTCTTCCCTGAATTGGCTGGCATGTTTGAACTGCCCAGGTAACTCTATTATATACTAAAAGTCCAGCCATAATTAATCATTTCAAATTTCCTGGATAAAAATCTGATACCGAAAATCACATAATGAATGCAAAGGCCAATCAAAGATTGATGTAAAGGAGAGGTTGGCTAACTCACCCAAGCTTTCCTTAGCACTTATTTGGCTCAGTTATTTCCTTCTATTTATTTAAATTTACTCAAATCAATACCACAAGTGAGATAATTTCTCATTAAGATCTAAGAATAGATGTGATTACTCAAAAGAAAAGTATCCATAAATCTCAGGAAAAAAACAACCTGGTTCCCTTGAGCAAGTAGCATTTTCAGTCTGGCTATTTCAGCTCTGAGCTCGCGGATGAGTTTGACGTTGGCATCCTCATTAATGGTAGGCTTGTTGATGATGTTTTTGGCTCTATTTGCATAGCGAAGAGTACTTAGGGTTTCTCCATAATTGACATCAGCAGGTGAAATGGCTGTGAAGAATATATTTGAAAAATAATTTATATAGCACTCAGTGTTTCATTTAACACAAAGCTGGCTTGTAATTTAAAAGTCAGAATAACCTCAGGTCATTGGATAGACTAAATATGCATTCCCAGAGTAATGAATATTAAAAATTATCAGTGATTTAGAGGAAAGAGTACTTAGGAGACAAAATTACATGTCATTTTGTTCTTTCTAAGTCTAGAATCAGCCATTTAACTGACGAAAATGATATATGAAGTATTTCGCTTTCGTGAAGAGCATTTTCTTTGCTAAAATTACAGGAAGAAGATTTCAAGGTTATTTGTACTTCTCAATGTTAAATAGTAATTTAAATACTTTTCAAAGGTCTGGCAAAACCTACTATCTTTGCAAACACCTGAAAGCATTCTTAATGATTATATCCGTATTCTCATTAAACTTTTAGTTAACACCACACCTCACTTCCAAGTTAAACCTTAAGGTTTAGGTGACTCTGAAATTGAATCAAGGTTTTGTCCCCGAGGTTAGATCCCTCACTTCCATAGTTAATGTATGGCATGGGGTGGTCTGAGGGAGTGGAAGAGCCAGCAAGGAGGGGAAGAGGAGAGAAGAGAAAGGAAGGGAAGTGATCAGGAGGGAAACAATTGTGTGAATTCGCCTGAACTATGATTTCTTTCTACATGTTTTCCCGATGCTATTTCTTGCTGATATTTGGTCAAAATATAGAACTAAAGTAACTTCTTCTTTTTAGCATCTGATTTGTTTTAGCTCAAGGATTGATGAACTTATAGAGGCATCAAGTAGGATAAGGATTCCAGGGGTGGAGGGGGTGTCAAGGGGAGATGGTGTCAAGGTGTCCATTTAGAAAGAGAATGTTGGGAACTGATGGTAGTCGCAATTGTACAATTCTCCTTGACATGATGGGTCTACAAAAAAAATGTATGAATTGTTGAATGAAAAAGTGATTATCTGCTCTGTAAGCCTTCACTCAATTCACAATGAATATGTTAAAAAAGAAAAGTCAGTGTTTTAAGGTATTGCTTTAAAAAAAAGAAAAAGATGCCATTTCAACTCATAGACCCTGTAGAACAGGATGGAACTGCCCTGTGAGTTTCCAAGACAGCAACTCTTTTTTTTTTTTAAAGACTGCAACTCGTTTTGGAAGTAGAAAATCCCATCTTTCTCGCTCAGAGTGGCTGGTGGTATTGAACTGCTGATTTGGGGATTGGCAGCCAAAACTGTGGCCACTAAGCCACCAGTGTTCCTCTAATGCAAATATTTATAGTCAACTCATAAAGTATCGTGTACAAAGAAGCAGAACTTAAAACTCTTACTGGCAATCATGATAGTTTTAGAATTTCCTCCAAGGCTGTCCTTTAACAACCATGTTAAGACAGAATCCCTGTAAGGCACAAAGATTTGCTTCTTCTTTGCCAGAGGGTTGGCTGCATCCTGAGATAAATCAGCTATAGGAAGAACAAAAAGAAAAAAGAGAGAAAAGGAGAGAGCGAGGCATTAATTTCAGCTCTTTTCTTAATAGTGGTTCTAAAACCCTTAAAGATATTCTCTCAGTTTGCAACAGAAACAATAAACTTATTTGCTTCATGCTAACACATTACAGTATCCCGAAGAATAAGAGATGGCAAGGGATAGAGCATATACCTACCTAAGGCAGAAATGACATTTCCTAGAGTCACGAGGGATTTATTGATGTTTCCCCCTTCTTTCAGTCGAACCCCAGTGGCACCAGTGGCATCCGCACGTTCACTTCCCGCAAGATCAACTAGATGGATCTTACTCACAGTTTCACAGGGCATTTCAGAATCAAATTTTGCCTGTGGTCAAATATAAGAACAAAATTAAAAGTTATAGAAAAGGATTTAATGTGCTCATCCTGATACAAATTCTGCTTGTTTTCCACTCCTCCCTCTGTTCTCCCAAGGGAAGTGGGGGGTGGGGGGTGGGGTGGGGCGGGGTTGTTGTCTGGTTTTTAGCTTTTTTTTAAAGCTTTCTTGTTTGATTGCCCTTCATACTGGTAACAAAATATCCAGTAATCTATAATATGTGATTTTGAAGAACCATTCTATCACGCAAATCATTCAATTATTTGCAACAGAGACTGGCTAAATCTGGCTGTGGGAGAATATGTCACTGAAATTCAGCACTGAGGACCACTCGTCAAAAAAGTGTAAGTACACAAATCATTAAAATTGGTTCTACACAGCATCGCCAGCATTCCAAACAGACTTACTATCCAAAAGGAAAATGTAGACAACTACATAAAAGATTATCCAACTGTTATCCAATAGTAAAACAAAGTGTCTTATAAATTATTTTAACATCTGAAAATCTTAAATACCATATGCCTTGCTTTTAAATTAAGGAGTCCTGGTGGTGGTGTTGGTAAGCACTGAACTGCTGACCACCAGTTGGTTCAAACTTATCAGCTGCTCTTTGGGAGAAAGTACGAGCTGTCTGCTCCAATAAAGATTTACAAAGGCCTGGATGCCCTACATGGGTGGCCATGAATTGGAATTAGCTACATGTCATTGGGGTTTAGTTCACTTCCAAATTATATCCAAATCTTACTTTCTCAAAGACTATTAACCTGCATTTTATAGTCTGCACCAAAATATGAAACAGAACTACAAAATTTTGATAGAAAAGTAAACCTCTTAGACAGGCATTTCTAATGAAAAAACAAGAGAAAAGCCATGAAAACCAGTAAATCAAAAGTAAGGTTACAACACAAAAGGTAGAGAAGTGAGAGGTTGAGTGGGAGTTGACTTAACCAAGGAATAGGGAATCTTCCTCCTTTATTTTTTTTGCTTTCTGCTCCAACTAATAAAGTAAACAGGAGGTGACATGCATCTAACGTGTCAATCACCAACACAGGTTGGACATCCTAAAGCCCTGGCACATGCCTAAGCCCTGCATAGACCCTAAATTTCTGGATTCACCTTTAGTTGTTCTACTGGTCTTGGTGCTAATATTTACTCTCAATAATTTCCACACATATTCAAGATGCTCTCGACCTCTTGATTAAACTGCATTGCTACATTAGCGCTCATAAATGTTCATTTTCGCTTACTCTCATTCTAATAATCACAATCACCACTGTAGGGCGAGCTCCATGGAGTGATAATGGGCTGCACTGAATCACTCACCTCAGTCTCTGTCGAGTCAGACTCGCAATCATTACTTCCCACAGAGTTTACAACAATGGGAACTTTTGCTTAATTAAGCAACGATCACATTTTTTATGTCTAGACTGGGATGGAAACTTACTAAATATTTTTTAAGGATATTTCAAATAACTATAATTGTAATCAGACAAATTCAGCACACAGCACATGTTCAATTCTTAACTAACAAAAAAATGATGGTCAGTCTCCTCTGCCCACTGCTCCTTATAGGTCAACAATGATCATTCCCCAGCCCGTGATAAATAGTAAGCAGAGGCCACAATGACAGATCTAACTGCCCTTACCTGAGTGAATTTAATAGTGAAGATGGCATGAGACCGGCTGCTGACATCATTCATTCCAGTAGCTGCTGTCGTCCGATTGATATTTCCTGCATCCATAAGTTCTTCTACATCACCATAATTCTGTACTAAATGTTTAGATAAATCTGGAGGGGAAAAAAAGAGAGAGAGGGGTGATTAAGAGAGCTCTTTCATCTACAATAAATAAGAACCTCCATTTTTTTACTTACTGAAAAAAGACCTTACTTGTTTCTACAGTGTGGTTGTTTACGATGCGGGAGCTGGAATGCTTGGGTTTGCATTCCAACTCTGCTACTTACTAGCTTACATTGCTTTGAACCAGTGACCTCACTGACGGTGCGTGTGCCTGTCCTATGTTGTTGGTGTTAGCTGCTCATCAAGCTGGTTCCGACTCAGAGAGACTCCATGCACAACGCAATGAACACTGCTAGGTCCCGCGTCACCCCAACTGTTCTTATTTGAGTCCATTGTTTCGGCCACTGTGTCCATTCATCTTATTGAAGATCTTCCTCTTGTTTGCTGCCCTGCTGCTTTACCAAATATGATGTCCTTTTCCAGGGACTGGTCTCTCCTGATAACATGTCCAGAGCACATGACACCAAGTCTCACCATCCTCACTTCTAAGGAGCATTCTGGCTGTACATCTTCCAAGACAAATCTGTCCATTCTTTTGACAGTTTGTGGTACTTTTAATATTTTTCACCAGCATCATAACGCAAATGCATCAATTCTTCTTCTTCTATCTTCCTTTTACAATGTAACTTTCACATGCATATGACGCAATTGAAAATACAGTGACGTGGGTCAGGCGTACCTTAGTCTTCAAAGTAATATCCTTGCTTTTCAACACTTTAAGGAGAGGTCTTACGCAGTAGATTTACCCAATGCAATGTGCCTTCTGATCTCGACTGCTGCTTCCATGAGCATTGATTGTGGATCCAAGCAAGATGAAATCCTTAGCAACTTCAATCTTTCGTCCATTTATCGTGATGTCATCTATTGGTCCAGTTGTAAGGATTTTGGTCTTCTTTAAATCAAGTTATAATCCATCCTTAATATTCATCAGCAAGTGCTTCAAGTCCTCCTCACTTTCAGCAGGCATGGTTGTGTCATATGCAGGTTGTAGGTTGTTGCATTAAAAAACCCACATTTTTTCTCCAATACTGATACCACAAGTACAAACAGATTAAATAAAATAAGTAGTTTGTTAATGGTTCTTATGTACTCTTTAGAATCTTTCAGTATCGCAATTTAAGGCTTCATTTTTCTTGCATACTCCCCTCCCCCCGTGCCCCGCTACACCCCCTTCAATTCTTTCTGTTTAAAGTTTGCAAAACATTTTAAAATCCTTTTATATTTTTTTTACATTCCTTTTTTTTAAATATTCATGTGGCTTAAAGTCAAAGACTGCAAAGGATATAATTTGTGAAAAGTTGCCCTCCCAATCGTACCCAACCGCCAGTTCCCCTTCAGGAGACGGTGTGACCACTTTCTCTGGATCCTTCTGGAGCTAACCCATACATTATAGAGCTTATACACACACACACACAAGGGCTTCAAAAAGTACAAGGAAAAACTGAATTAAAAAATTATGGATTTGTTCCACAAACCTTTTGCAGCCCCCTCATGAAAAAAAGCAGAATGCAAAACAGTGTTTATAATTTGACAGCTATCATTTATATCAAAGAGGGAAAAGATGAAAAACAAAAACCAAACAAATGATAGCTGTCAAATTATAAACACTGTTTTGCACTCTGCTTTTTCATGCAAAACATTTATTGGTGAACATTCCTATACTGGTTTTTAAAGTGATTCCTCTTATTGTGTTTATCATTATGATACCCTCCAGCTCCCCCCACCCCACACACAAACAAAAAGTTTTTTCCAGACAGGGTCCTAGAATGCAGGATATGAGATAAAGCATTTCATTACAGGGATGGCCTTCAACCCAGCCTAGATTTTAAAGAAAATAGTTAGCCAGGGCCAGCCTTTACCTAGGAGTACTTGTGTCATTACTCACAACTGAAGGTGACACACTAAAGAATCATATCACAAATACTGCGGGCCACAGAATGGAACACTTTGCAACAAACTTCTCTTCTTCAAAGGTAACAGGTCATACAACATCTTTACCATCACTTAGCATCATTAGGCTCAGTAAAAACGTACTGCAAAAATGCATCCCATTTAAGAGACAGGAAATAGAATATACATCTTGCCTGACAACACTGGAAACAAGTTTCCAGAGTTCTTAAAGTCAGGGAATATATTGGCAATCCCCACTAAACCAGTGAACACCCAGTGAAATAAGAATTCACTAAATGCATATTGTGTAATTACAGTTCATATACCTAGAGGATTTAGAATTTTCAGAGAAAATCTCTCTTAACCTTTCAATTGCATTGTTCCACAAGCTTTTTGAAGGCTACTCATATTGTGTTAAGAATAAGATGTCAACAAAAAAGTGGGTGAAGGGAGACGTCGGACAGGGCAAGATATGA